TTGGAAGTTTTTTTTTTTTTTTTTTTTTTTTTTTTTATTAGCAAGAATCCTGACATGGATTTTATGTGTTTCATTCTCAGCCTGCTGTGATGAATCAGGGAACAATCCGTCCAGCTGCCAACTTTGATGCCATGAGAGATGCAGAAATTCTCCGTAAAGCAATGAAGGGGTTTGGTAAGGAAAACAGCGTTTTCTAATTTAAAGTGATTGGTTTTAAAGTACAAATAAACCTTATGTCATATGCCAAGTTTTTGTGTCAGTCTTTGTGCACACACTTGCTTCATCTGGCTCCTAGTGCCTTGTAACCATTTTAAGAGATAACCTAAAGGAGCCTCAGCACAGACTTTGTCCTCCTTAAACATGTGTGGTTCTTCCAGGGACAGACGAGCAGGCTATTGTGGATGTTGTGGCCAACCGATCCAATGACCAGAGGCAAAAAATCAAAGCAGCATTTAAGACCATGTATGGCAAGGTACATGCTTTTTTCTTCTCTAGAGTGAGCACTATGGCCTGCAGACGGCATTCATGTCAGATTGGCTACTTCTTTTTTGTTAGTACCTATGATATAAAGGAGAGACCACTAGACTTCAGAAACCTCAGGAGTCGAATAGTCACTATTTCTCTTAAAAGACTTTGTAATTCTAGGCTAGTCCTCGAACTCACAATCATACTTTGTTCTGTGTCTTTTATGCACTAGCTGTTTAGTAGGAAGTAGATTATGACCACAACCATGATCAAGAGTTTAATTCTCAATCTCCTTGCAGTGGAATTCAAGGCTTATTACGTAGTCCCTGCTTATTCTTGGTCCTTGGCAACATCATCTACTTCCCTCTCTCTAAACATATTCTGTCTTACAGTTACATGGAACTACTTAGGATTCTCTGCACACACCATGATATTTTTCGCTTCTTAATATTAAAGAGTACGTGCATGAATAAGCGAAGACGTGTTGTTCTCTTGACCTACAAAGCCTTTTCCTTTTTTTTCTGTGTTGGAAACAACTGTCTCGATATTTGGGTTAGATATCAGCTTCTCTGAAGTTTCTCTCACTGCTGTGGGTAGAATTTAGCTGCCTTTTCCCTTGTGGTCCCATAGTACTTTGTAAACCTCTGTTGCTAATCTCACTTCCCACTCCTGAAACTGAGCTCCCCTAGGACAAACTTTGTCATATTCATCTTTGTATCAGTAGCACCAAGTGTACAGTGACAAGTAGCATTAATAAATATTTGTTAAATGGATAATTAGTTACTAAAGCCAGCAAGACTTCATAGCTAAAAGTGCCATTGTTCTCCCCCAATATTGGGAAAACTGGGCAGCATTGGTTTGCCATTTAAACATTTCCTAATGTCCCAAGCATCCAGTTTGCTTTTCTCAGAATGAGGAGCTATCCATTAATTAATCTCACTTTTCCCATTCTACTCTGCTTTTCTTTGCCCATTCCAGATCCACTTCTTTTGTCTTAAAACTGATTATGTGACACAAACCCTAGCTTTCTCTTCATACTCAACATCAGACTCATTTTCTTCAAAAGGCATTTTCCATGTTGTAAACATTTAGTCTGTGCTATGATGTTTTGAATTTTCTCGTATATTGCTTTAGACTTTGTTATTCCCAGCTACCTCCTCTCTTGGTTTTCTATGAATTAATAAAAAATGCTATTGTAGGGCCGGCCTCATAGTAAGTAGTTAAGTGCTATACATTGGAGGCCAGATCCCACATGGCTGAACGTGATTCAAATTTTGGCCCCGTGGCTTCAAAGACGCTGAGTGAATTGCTTGAAAGCCAAAAATCCTGATAGGATAGGGAAATGGAAGAAGGAAGTGTTGTTGTATGACCATACTGCGGTGGATAGAGACTTTGTTTCTCTGGTAAGCGCATACACCTCCTAGCAATTAAATTACTTTTCTAACCAGCTGTGGAATCATCTTTGATTTCATGTTCTTTTTTATTAATAATGAATATTTGGTCAGTGCTTACTGTATGCCAGGTCTTCCTTGTCCTAACAATTGTTTATTTACCTAGATCAATTGATTGATTGATTGATTGATTGATGAGGATTTTGCCATAGGGTTGCATGCACTTGCTGGAGAGAGAGAGACAGTGAGAAGGAAATTGAGAAATCACCTACCCAAGGGGAGTGGCCATGTCATAATCCCTTCTCTTCCAGTCTTCTCCCACAATGTTGGGCATGGATGCACATGTGCCCATTGAGAGTTTCAAGCCACTGGGTCTGAATCGCAGTTGGCCATGTGGGAATTCAACAACATAACCATTACACCATCTGCTGGCCCCCTAGTTTTATTTATTTATTTATTTTTAAAGAATTGTTTATTTATTCATTCATTTATTTTAGTTTGATCAGAGAAAGACACACAGAGAGAGGGAAAGTGAGAAAGCAAGCCACTAGGTCTGGGACTCAACCCATGGTTGGCCGTGTGTGTGTGTGTCCCCGTCTGTCCGTCCGTGTGTCCGTCCAGTGCCTTGACCACCATGCCACCTGCTGGTCCCCCTTTATTTCTTATCTAAATATCCCAGCAACCTAAATGTTCTCCACCTATAGCTGTTAATCACTGTAGTCCATCTTGCATCTTGCATGCATATCAATGCCGTTTTTTTGCATAAAGGGCATAAAGGTTTCTCGTAGCTCCTCCTAACAAGTCTACCTTTGTTAGGTTGACATTCAAGGTAATAATATAAGATTTTGTTACAATTTTGTTTATTAATTTACTATGAAAACCTTTTTCACTAACTTGTCTTATTATTCTATTGACCAGTTATCTCTTTACTAGTGATTATCCGCCTTACCTGAACATCATAATCTCTTTTTAACTTAAAAACATATGAAATCACTGAGTCTTAGTTCTGGGCATCAATGTGTTTTGTTTTGTTTTGTTTTCCTTTTTTGAGGCGCTACAGATGATTTTAATGCATAGTTTAGGCTAAGAACCCCGTCCCTTTTCTTATTTGTGCTTCTTCTGGACTAAAAGCTTTCTCTGAGTTCTTTAGCCCACGTTAAAGTTTTTTCTTTTTTCAACTTTTTCTGTTATTTCTTTGCTGCTTACCTGCTGCTAGCATACAGATTGCCTTATATTACCTTGTTTTAGATGTTTATCCTGGTTTTCTAAATAAGAACAAGATGATAATTTCGATTTCCTCTTAAAACCAAGAATAGTTTCTTATACTAAGTTAATATCTAATTATTGTTTTGTTAAGTTTAATTATTCTTTGTTTCATGTAAATCTTATATTTGTGTCTGGAGTGGTAAAGCTGCAGTAAGGATGTAAATGTGAAGAAATTGTGTTTTAGAAAAAATATATGTGCTTGAGGTAACAAACTATATATTTACTTCTCGGTATGTAATATTCAGATTTGAAATTTAGGTATTTGTAAAACAGTTCCATTTCATTTTTCCCAAAAAGATTTAAGTAACAGGCTATCGGTGGTGGTGTAGTGGTAGAGCAATCCTCCGTGATGCTGAGGCCACATAGGAAGGTTCCCTGTTGTAACCCGAGGTCTCCCTGTGCACACTCGGTGTTCATGTTTGTGCCCAGGATTTTGGCTAACTAGGAGTCGATACAGTACGAAGACCCTGTTAGGAGAGCATTCTCTCTCATGTAAGAAAGAATAAACTAAACTAAAAAAAAAAAAAAGATGAAGGCAACAAAATTTGGAGAGCACACAAACTTAGCTTGCATTTGTAATTAAACAGGATTTAATCAAAGATCTCAAATCAGAATTAAGTGGAAACATGGAAGAACTGATCCTTGCCCTGTTCATGCCACCTACCTATTATGATGCCTGGAGTTTACGGAATGCAATGCAGGTACTATTTGTCATTTATTTTGAATATTTATCCTATTTTATTATATAAGATTCCCCAGATTATGGTGGTTCTGAATTTATAGAGATACTTTAAAGTCGGATACTATTTCATATCATCTGAATATATGCAGCTTTTCCTGTCCTAGAGGACAAAGAAATATGTGATAGAACAGTTAAGATTTAATTACTTTCAGAGACTTTTTTGTGAGTTTTTTGGTATAATTCCTCCTATTTTTTTTTATAGGGTGTAGGAACTCAGGAACGTGTCTTAATCGAGATTTTATGCATAAGAACGAATCAGGAAATCCGAGAAATTGTCAGATGTTATCAATCAGAATTTGGACGAGATCTTGAAAAGGATATTAGGTCTGATACATCAGGACATTTTGAACGTTTACTTGTATCCATGTGCCAGGTGAGTAGAGCATGGAGTGTTGGTGGAAGGAACTTTTTTCTTATTGCCTATTGCCAGTGAGCATTCTTTATTCCTTTTACTATTTATCCCCCTTGGAATATTGCCATCTTTAAGAGGGGCTACGTGGAATCTAATATACACATTTCTTTGTTGTTACTATTGGGATTTCTACAGATCTGGCTTTTGTAAAGAATCAGAGTAACCTCTTTAGAGTTGTTGGAATCAGAAGCCATCTTTTTTTTTTTTTTTTGAGAGGTTTTTGCTGTAGGGCACGTGCAATCACCAGACAGACAGAGAGAGACAGAGAGATAGAAAGTGAGAAATCACCCCCCAGGGGGGGATGGCCACGCCGCAATCCTTTCTCCTCCATTCTCCTCTCGGGATCTCGGGCATGCACGCACATGTGCCCGGCGTGAGTTTAAGCCACCAGGTCTAGGACTCAAACCACAGTCGACTACGTGGGAGTCCAGCGACATAGCCATTACGCTAACTGCTGGTCCCCATCCAGTCACCAGAATCTTAAGCCAAATGAGCATCTCGATTCTTTATGAATCACTCCGTCTCAGGTAACTCTGTTGGCCCATAGCAGTGCACTAATGCAGAAAGCCTTCAGGCCACCCCGTTCAAGGATAAAGCAGGGCCATGTGAAACTCGAGAGGTTCCTTCTTCCCAGGAACAGAGACGGCCCAGACATTGTCTACTGTGCTAGAGACTATGTCTTCAAACCCGAAGTGAGCCATAACCTTAACAACTCCCTTTCCAGGGGGCTAGATGATGGCTCTGTGGAAAAATGTGCTCTGCGAGGCAGGCCCACCTGGGAGGCTCCTAGTTTAAGTCTAGAGACTTGTTTGGGCACCCTCAGCACACAGTCATACAGAGCTGACTGACGCGGCGGGGGGGGGGCTGGCGGGATCAGGGCCCGGGGGGCGCTGTCTCTCTCTATCATTAATGAAAGAAATACATTTAAAAAGGCATTTTCCTCACATTATGGAATTAATACAGCTATTTAAAATATTATATTTGTAATGTAATGCATAACTATTTTAAATAGATATGTTTAAATATAGATACATTTATATAATCTAACTATGAAATAATAAATGTTGTGTGAGTATAGAAACTTTAGAATTGATAGAAAGATACATAAAAGGCAGACAATGAATTACTGTAAATCTTATAACCCAGAAATGGTCATTATTCACATCGTTTTCCGTTCTTTCTGTGTTTCTGTTTATGTGTGTGCATTTTTACCTAGTTATTCATTTTCCTAAATACTTTATTTTAGGGCCTTAAGGGTAATGTGTTATAAATTTAGTAATATACTCGTTGCTGATTGCGTTTTAAACATGCTTTTATGTTTTAGATAAATTATACAGAAGCACATTCGATGTCTTCTTTCATGGGATGTACAAGAGTGCATGCTTTGATAGCAGCTGACATTTAACAGGTGTCCCCATGAGCTGAGCACATTATTTTATTGTTCTCAGTCCTCACAATAACCTGCTAGGTTAGCATTGTTAACCCAGGGAGGCAAAGCCCATGGCAGACAGAGATTGGGCCATGTCACAGAGGTAGGAAATGTCCTCACTCAGACGCCAAAGGTGATAAATATTCCTAAACCTGTCTGACTGCCTCACGTGAAGTGAATCCCAGGTTGAGTTACTATGTCCTAGAGAAACATGGGAGATAAAGAGGAGTTAAATTATGAGCAAACTGGCCATGCATACCAATGTGGCGTCCAGGACATGGCAGGTGACTCAGTTCTCTGCCACAGACCCAAGGAGTGGGTGCCCCGTCAGCCACTACAGAGACCCAGATGGCAATGTCCTGCCTGGTCCTGCCTGACTGACGGCGTGGTGCACCGCTTTGGAAGAGGGAGACTTTGTCTATGAGGCTCGTGTGCTCACCAGAAAGAGACAGAGGTGGAAGGAAAGAAAGAAGCAAAGTGAGAAATCACCTTCGGTTGGCCATCACCAGGGGGAATGGCTATGCGCAATCCCTTCTCCTTTCTTTCTGGATTTCGCACGCATACACATGAGCTCAGGGCGACTCTTAGGTTGCCGGGCCCGGGACTTGAACTGCACAGCTGGCAATGTGGATCCAGTGCTTTAGCCTCCAGGCCACCTGCTGGCCCTCCACAATCGTTTTCTTTAACACCAGGTGTGTTCTGACTGATGACGCGCTCAGCGTAGTCGTAGCATAGTACAGCGTCGTCTCCGAGTCGGGGCGGCGGGTACAGCTGCTGTCGCGGGCCAGCGGCCGTGCATTCATTGCGTGCAGTTCTGGATTTCTGAAACACTCAGTGCAGAGGGCACGGCTCCGCCTCCCAGCACGCAGCGCTTCATTCTTCAGTGGTCAGTTTTCTGCCTCATATCGACTGCATTTTCCACCCTCTCTCTTCTTACCTGGACCTGATTTCACCAGCCCTTCTTCCTTTTCTCTTTCAGTGTTCCTCTCCCCACCGCCCTTATATTAGTCCAGGTCCCCCTTCGTCTCCCACAGCGCCCCGTCCTGAGCCCTGCCCCAAATGTCCTCCTATCTGCCTGGTCTGAGCCTTCGCCGCTCTCCAGTGGGTGTGCCCGGTGCTGCTCGAGAGCTGCCCTAAGTTCTCGGACATTCCATGCTAGCACTCATCCTCCTCAGGGCAAGCATCAGCTGAAAGAGGGATGGCATTTCCGTATGGTTAAGAACGACACGGCTGTCGAGTAGCTGCGTGTTGGTGTCCACTGAGCTACGTCTTGCCCTCTCCTGAGGTGGTTGTTCTGTGGCTGGTGAAGAGGCTCCTGGGCTGGGAGCCATCTGATCACATTTTACTCTTTCATACTCTGCCGCGTTCTGCATAAAGACCTGTGATCAAGAGAACGACGTCGCGTTCATTCTGCACCTCCTTCCAGAGGAAAGGATGTCTCCAACTCTCTCTGTGGGGGCCGTTTTGTCTAGCAGAAGCCTTGTGCACAGGGTGGTCGGGTTGATTTCGAAATATACCAGCGCACTGGTAATGACAACCTGGAAAACGCCAGGCCTTAACAGAGGAGACCCACCTCGTGTGTTTACCATTCCCACTGCATCGAGGGCCAGAGGGGAGGCAGGGCTGGTCTGTTAACAGCCTTCTCTTCATTAAATTTCTCTTAAAAGTAAACAAACTCATAAACAGGTCCAGTGGGCCCCCTGAATGCTGCGGAGGGCTGACTCTACTCTGCCGTATGTGAGGGCTGAGCACCGACAGACTTGGCACCTTGAGGGGACAGGTGCTGCACCCAGTGCCCTGCAGGCGTGGGGAACAGTGTCACCACTGCAGGGATTCAGCCTGCCAGAGCTTTTCCTTCTGAGTCTTCCAATGTCTGTGGTTTTCTTTAATCCTCTCCCACTACTTTTTATTTTCCGTTTTCTGCTTAGTCTTTCCTTCCCTTGAAATGTTTCTAAATATCAAGTCTAAATATATAAGAAAGTGAGACAGAGGCGTGGTGGAAGGGAAATCTCACCCTGTCTTCACTAATGAGGGTTCCTGGCCCGCAAGCACACTGAGCAAGCCAGGGCTTTCCCGTCACAGTCTGCGTTACAGATGTGTGACTTCGCGGAGCCGAGTGTGGCTTCACGGACAGCTTCCTTACGAGGGCTTCAGTGTTCATGGCTCCTGGCCCCCGTAAACTCAGGTAGATGTGATGGAGGAGCGGATGCGGGCCGGTAGGCGCACCTCCTGTCCCTAATTGCGCTGCTGCGGGGGTCGTGTTAGTGTGACAGACGGCATCTGGCCTAGGGCACAGTCATGGGACCGGGAGCAGGCATGCTTGTGGGTGCCATGTCAGAGCCGTGGTCAAGGCAACTGGAAAGTACCCCCATGTCTGGAGTACACTTTTCAAGAACGGATATATTTGGAGAGCTTTCTAAAACTTCGTCCAAGTCATTAGCCGTGGCTTCATAAGCTGTTGGCGTGGGGACTCTTGTTGGCGGCTGTACTGTAACCCACCTGAAGATACCCCGGGGCCTGCAGGAGCTCATAAGGCAGGCCTTCCGGCCCGGTTTTGTTTTGTGTGGGCAAGGGCGGAAAGACACAAGCCTCGTCGTTTGGGCCTCCGTGATGTATTCGCTGCCACCGCTTTCTTGTGTATTTTCTTTAGGTCTGTTCCTTAAACCACAGTGAGATGAAAACTATTCCTGGGAAGCCATCAGTTAAAGTGGACTTAACCTAACAAAATCTGAGTCCTACTTAAAGAACCAAAGAACCCAAACATAGTAACAAAATAAAACCCCACGGCGGCATCCTTAGCAGGTGTAGAGCGCGGTGACGTGGGCACTGCGGGGCCGCCGATGGCCGTGCGGTAACCAGGGGACGCGTGAGGAAAACGCACCGCCTTGTTGTGATCAGTACTTTTTCCCTTGAGAAGTTCTTTCATCCCTGTTCCTACTGATCTTCGCAATAAAGACCGGGTTGTTTGTCCCCGCACGTTACCAGGCGGCGCCCCCAGGCTGGCGATGTATCTGCCCTGGTCTTTCCGATGCCGCCGAGCTGATCGCAGGTGCGCGGAGACTTTCTCTCAGGTCACTTGGCCTGTGCTGCTTAAATAACGCCTCGAGAGCGACACAGGCCCAGCACACGGGTGGCGTCTCAGTGGTTGGGGAGCAGTGGATGTTCGTTTCCGCGTGGGCGACACCTCAGGGCACCTCTGCTGCCCCTCGCTTCCTGCCCCTCGTCTTCCTCCAGAAGTGCCCCTGGGTTCTGGCAGCTGCCAGTGGAGAGGCCTCCAGCCATGTGCTCACGCCCCGCTTCTGGGCAGAGCCAGCAGCCAGCAGGTGCCAGTCACCCTGCTCGCCGGGAGCCCTGGAGGAGACACTGCAGTTCCCGACCAGGTCGGGCTGTCCTGCCCCGACAGATGGTCAGCGTTTGGTCTCCTCTGCCCTGTCACCAGGGAACTCCAGCACCGCTTCATGTTCTGCCATTTACTTTCCATTTAAAAAGAAGCAGAAAAGGGACACCGTGCCGGGTCACCATAGCTGAGCGGCTTCAGTGTTGACAAGGGTAAAAGGTAACATTGAAAGGAAAAAAGAGAGAAAGGGACGGAAATGAACACGGCCATTTGCTAAAATGCGTAAGGACAGTCC